TAAAATCTAAGTGACTCGTACAACATGTAATTCAGATAAAACGGAAAAATCAATGATCTTATAGGGGGATCGACTGTATTTATTTATTTACTAAATAAGTATAATTTAGATTAACATCTAAAGAACAGTTTTTCGTCATCTGATTTTTATAGAAGCATAAATCAACAAAAAATTCTCTATAATACAAATGAATTTCTTAATTGTAAATACATTTTGAAAAACAATATATCTCCTCATCAGTACAATGCAACTTAAGGAATTTTTAACAGAGTTTATACAAATAAAAACTATTTCATTTAAGGAACACCAACCTACACTAATACTTATTATCTAACATTCTTACATTCACATTTTACAACTTTTTTGTATACAATTAAAATTTTTCCTTAAACACTTTTTATAACTACTATAATTTACATACATATTTAAAATCATAATGACTTACAACCATGGTTTTTGTTTTCTATTTTTAAAAGCAAATTTTACAAAGTGTTTTAACAATTTCAGTCCAATAAACTTAATTTTCCAATCCTTTTCTATGTTCACACTATTAACTACAATTATAGTTAATAAATTGTGTTAAAAGATTCTTAACTATAAATGTAGTTAATATATCATAATATGATTCTTTGGACTTTCAGCACTGTTTATAACAGGGTTAAGTTAACAATAAAGTTAATTTTTGTTACTCTAATACAAAATAACCAACTGATTATAAAGTGATTATTGAATAAATTTTAGTTTTAAAAATATGGAAATAAGTGAAAATTAATTCCATATTTTTCAAAAGTTTGCCTATAGGTTAGTTTTGATGAGTCTAGTTGAATTTAATTTTAAACAAACAATTATTTATTTTGACATTGCCACAATACTAGGATGAAATTTTTCATCACAATGTTCTCAATTTTTTCGGTAGTGCCTTATCCTTGTAAATCATACTTTTACTGTTAGCAATAAAGTTGTACCAGTCATCTATCTAACTCCATTCAGTGTAAAATTTTTGAATTGAAATAATGTGAATCCTGGTCCAAACCGAAAGTTTGTATATAGTTAATCAGGGCCATCTGCCGCTAACTTTCCATATCTGGTTTTGACTTTCATCTATCTAACACCATTCTCGAGATTAAGAAGGGACAGAAGAATAACAATGGGAGTTTCTAGGTCTACAATTTTTTTCAAATTGCAGCCCAACAATATTATTATATTTAACTATAAAATTATAAAAAAATTGATTATTTCCAATATTATTTTACTTTCATATTCATTATAAGCAATATAAAATTAATATTCTTGATATGTAAAAAATAAAACATAACATATAATACTGTAATTTAAAAAGATTAGTTTTAAAACACTTTAATAAATTTAACTTACTAAGTTCTGATCATCAAATTCTCCATGCATAAGAACAATTCCTTAAAAAAAGATAAAAGTTATATATTTACTTATATATTTTTAAAATTTGTTATTATTTAAACTTTACAGAAAAACTTTAAATATTAAATAAAGTTTCTTTACACCTCAACATTTACAGATTGGAAAGAGTGAAAAAATTTCTTTTTACAAAATAACAATTATAAATTTGGAAGTTCAAAATATTATATTAAATCACATAAGAGTTTTATGAAAATATATGTTTACAATCAAGTCTCCATGTTCACAAAAATTACATGTCAATAATTCTCAAAAAAATGTGAATACTGCATAAATCTGGTCCAAATAGCCCCAAATGTTTTCTAATATGCCTAAACACTTATACAATCATTGACAATTAGTAAAAAAATGTTAAATATGTTTTAAAAAATTTTAATTCTGTTTATAATAATGAGTAGTATTTTAGACCATGTTTCTGAAAATACTGTATCAAAATTTTTTTACATAATTAAGAATAAAGATGCATTAGAGTATTACCAGACACAGTAAAATCTGTGTAAACTGAAATCACACAGTACTGAATATATTTTCCAGTTTGGCATGTTTCCATTTTGAACAGGTTTTACTGTACAACATATATCAGTCACAAACCATTCTACATTGTTGATATTCACTGAAAAACAAGATATGCATACCCTACCATCATTCAGAGCCATAGCCAAATTTTTAGTATAATAAATTTTGCAACCATTGTAACAACACAAATCTATGAACTTGATCATTGAGAGCTTGTGTGGAACCCAAGAGCAAGATCCATTTGTCATTTTTTTTGGAACAAATGAAATACATAGAATGCTGCTTTATTAATACAAAGCAGTCTTAATGATTTTAGTTTTTTTTAGTAAAAATAACATTAATTTTAATGTTATTTAAATTAAACCACTACAAGTACAGATAGGAACCACTACAAGCACCCAACTTTTCTCTCAGCCAGGGGAAAATCCCCAGCTCTATCATCTCTCTTGATGGCCTTGTCTATGAGAATAGATCCTGCAGATATGGAGACCCAACTGTATTAAAATTAATAATATATTACTAAATTTAAATTTACTTTAAATAATTAACATTAAAATAAATTCAGTAACATTATAGAAATTAAATTGAAAAAGTCATGTTTTATTAAAATATTTATTTATTAACATTTAAAAAGTTTTACCTTTTTCTTTCTGAAAATCAGGATAATGTATTATTCTGAGACATTCTGGAGCATTTTCTTTGTAAGCCTATATATTTTATTAAATAATTATTAATATTACATTATTAAATTATTTTTATTATACAGTAGTTAGAAAATTAAGAAATTATGAAATATATTTTTTTCATTACCTGGAAATTAATTAAAAATGTAAAATGGCATTCATGATTCAAAAACTGACTGACTACAAACTCATAACCATCTTTTCTTGGAAGTGGAAAAAGAAACTGAAAATAATAATAAATGATAAATAAATAAATACTGTATAGTACATTAATTTATACATTAAATGATATTTCAATTGAATAAGCTCTTTGTTTAGAAAACACTGAACTATAATTTCATATAATATGGTTTCAAATCATACAATTTAAATTACACAAAATTATTTGATAATAATCAAATCTTTCTTTTCTCTGTAAACCTTATAAGTTTGAGAATTTCAATACAGCACTTCTACCATCCAAAGGTTTTCAATGACAATGATATCAAAATAAATTTTTTTACAGAAAACATTTCAAACATTTAAATAAAAAATTCTTTGAAATACTTTTTTATAAATATCTTGTAAGTTACTTGTATATTTATTACTTGTATTGTATATTAAAATATACATAATGTATCATGTATCATCATGTATCAGATAATGTGGATTACTAATTTAATGTTTTAAAGGAGACATACAATATTATGCCAAAATACAACATTACAATAAAACAATATAAAGTTCCATTCTTAAATATTTTTACCATTTAGTTATTTAAAACAAAAAATCTGTAAGAAATGAAGAATATAAGAAAAATAAGACCTCAATAATTATTTTACTCTTAAAAGTTTTATCCTTCCATAAATTTACAAATTATTTATACATTACCTTTAAATCAAATATTTAAATTTAATTAGTATTAAATAATACTCACTACTGGAAATTTCAATGAAGTAGAATAAATGTTTGCATAATTAGTATCCTAAAAATAAAAATTTTATGATATTACTGTTTCTCAATTAATTACTAGTAAATTATTTTAATTGGTTTAAAAATTTGATAACTGAAAATGTCTATTATATATAAAAATAAATTTTAAATACTATTTGATTATAGTCTACAAAAAAGAAACATGTTAATATGTTTATATCTATGAATCTGAATATAAAATATATTCTAGTATGACATTCTGATCAAGTAATTCAAAGAAATTTTGCAAAAAATAGAAACCAAGTAAAATCAACTCTTTAATATGCATGTAATCATTTTTCTTTCCTTAAGATATTTAATTGCAAAAGCTATAAAACTATCAGTTTAAAGCACAGCTTAATGAACGTGTTTGGACGCTGGCCTGAAGACCTGTAAATAAAATCTGAATATCTTCTATAATCTCATTCATATACTAGTATATTCTTTGCATTTGCATAAATGAATTCATGTTAACAAATTTATACTGCATAGATTCATTTGCTTTATTGCTTTAATTGTAGCAATGAAGCAAAATGCAAATATTAAATTTTATGGAGCTTAAGTTAAAAATAATATTTAAAATTACAGAGTAATAAAACAAATAGCATTAATAAAGAATTCAGTAAATAAGCCTCAGTTTAAAATAAAAGGAAGGAGGATATTATAATTTCATTTTGTAACAAAACATTAAATAAAATATGACAAAAAAACTGATGATTATAAAGTTTATGATACTAAAATATGTTTAAACAGCTCAAGGAATAAGATTAAAAGTATTACAAAATTTACAACATTATAGATGAATGAGCAAAAACATCTGTATCTTCTTAAGGTTATTAATTTTGACAATATTTAAAAGCTTTCTTATTCTAATATACGGTTTTACTTAAAACTTATATTGATCTGGAATTCAATGGCAAGGCTTTTTATTATATAAAAGTTAAAGTGAAATAATTAATTCAAAATATTTTTCAACATCATTATTATCATTATTAAAATAAATCTTATTTTAATATCGGTTATTTGATTAGGTTAGATAACTGATAGAAGTTTAAAAAAGTTTTTAAATAATTGGAAATTCAAGTCTAGCATCCATAAATTTAGAAAATAATGAAATTCTTACTGGAATTACAGCTGAAATCCCTTTTCTGTTCTTGTGATATTCTTGCCAGATCTTAAAGAGAACAAAAGCAAAACATGTAAATTTGTTTTATACTCTTTAATCTATTTAAAAGTTTACCCTATTAACTTCTACAAATTTTAATAATCCTCATTAATATATATTATCATCACTGATAGTAAATACATAAAAATCTTTAAAACTTGGCACATTATCTCAGAGTTTTAATTATAAAATACAGATGAATGTATTTTTTTAATTATTTTATATAAACAAATTTATTTATAAAATATGTTTTGGAGAAATCCAACATCAACAGATTTTGTAATTTTTATTATTTGAATATACAGTATATATTATTATATATTTCACTGTTTTACATTTTTGATTGTGACATGAAATATATAAAAATGTTAAAACAATAAACATATCAGTAATTAAAACAAAGAAAGAAAACTACAATATAAAAAATTGATTATATAATAAAGAGATATACAGTATATATATATATATATATATATATATATATA